TGACGTGAGACTTTCAGTGAAGGTGACCTTAACATAAACATTTTTTTTTATCATATGCTCAGCTTAAATTTCCCAGGCTTTTGCCAGGTTTACTTTAATGACAGGAGAGACTGTGAATCTTGCAGTATTAGTAATTCCTGGGGACCTGCTGTCATTTTGGGCTTCATTGTAATTAAAAACACTAACTAAATAAGAGGTAAGTGCCCATCCTAGATGTCAGTGCTCTATAGCTGTTTCACTAGTTTTATTCTAAAACCAAAATTTTTAGCAATTTTCTTTTTTTTTTTCAGTTTTTTTTCCCCAGCTAAAATTAAGACGCCATTCACATTTATATGATGCAGGAGCATGTGAGATGCCACATGTTGCAATGTTAATTGTGAAATAATGGCACCCCAATGCAATCCCTAGTCATGGCACATGCGCTGTATCTCACCATATCTCGTGGTAACCTATTGCCATACGTCATGGTGTGTTGTGATTTAACAAAAAAAAAATGGTTCATGCACTCCTTCCAGTGAGATTTAGCTGCATCAGGAAGCCTATTTAAATAAATTGGCTACTGCAGCGCACCACAACGCACCCTGTAGCACATCTGCGATGTCGCATCGCAGAGGTGTAAATGAGGACTAAGATATCCAAAACTTCCTTCGATTATGGTGCATTTATAAAGCTATTGCACCTCCTATTATATTGGAAGGTTCAAAAACACCTGTACAAGCAATCTTATAGTAAATGTCATACAAAAGGCCTCAAGCCCCTATAAAAACACACTTTGTCAAAGTTTATTAATGTTCATTTATTAAAATATGGTAATACCATATTTATGTTATTAGCGGTGTTGCATTTTCAGGCAACACCACTAAGAACATGCCCTTGGTGTTTGCCTGTACAATTTGTGCCTGGTATTTAGATTGTTGGATTATTGAGTGGATATTGCTTCCAGCAGGTTTTGTTTTACATGAAAAATACAGAGAGGTGAAGGTTTAACAACATTCTCAGAAGAATTCTGAAGCTGTCTTATTATAGAATGCAGTATTTAGGGGACAGCTATAGCACAGCTGCTTACACCCACAATGGGATTTTTCTGCACAAACCTGTCATGTTCCACAAGGAATCATCTGCCGGAACGGCACAGCTACCTCGCAACTTGCATCTTGCAAAATGCTAAGAAAGACACATTAAGCAGAATTTTAGACTAGTCGCTAAATATGCAGTTCAAATACATACAGTACATGTACTGGTTAACCTTCCGAAGGGATTTTTATTTAGTTCAGTCACTCACCGCTGCAAGGCTGCATGGCCAGATCCCAGAGCATACTTTTCTACTCTATATTTAAAGCAATAAAGCATGGTAAAGGAACCTGCCCCAGCCTGTATCTGGATATGGATTGAGCAGTAGCTTCTTAATGAGATTATCCACATGCTCTGTGCCCCCATCACCATTTTTCTGGACCTAGATTGATAGCAATGTGCAATGCAGTAAAGCCTGATTGCCTTAAAGCACAGACCATTCCTCTCCCAGTCTAATTCTTGTAGCGCAAGAAAGGAGGCATATATCAAGACAGATTTTGGTACTATTTAAAATACATCCTAAAGTAGAACTATGGCCTCCATTTAAAACACACATGTGTTGCAGGCCTTAATTATAAGTGCAAAGAGATGTGTGTTCCCTGGAGCTCCGATATACTCAGTTAATCCCTTTATTCATAGTTGGATCTGGTCATCAAGGTCATGTAACCAAAAAGTAATTGAAACAAAAAGGGGAGGAAACTGTGTTCCAAGTGGGGATCACTGTAGAACTGGTTACTGATAGACCGAGACCGATAATTTCTTATAAAAGTATAAACTTTATTGTGATACAAAACATCAATTACTGCACCATCAACACCGCTTCTCAAAGATTTCATAAAAGAACAGCGCTGTTCGTAGCACTCAAACACTCATTCATTCATCCTATGGGACCCACACAGTCTACGGCACAGCAAAATCTTTAACGGTTTAAACGGGGAGATATTCCCAGTTTAACACCTGATTTATTTCAGTGATTATGTCCCCATTAGACGATGGTACTGAATCAGGGTAATTAAAGTTGTAGATCTATTTCAAGATACGATTATAACCGATTCTTTCTGCAAGTGATACATCCAAGATTTGTAATGGTGATGTCTGTTTGTGGTTTGTTTGAAAGAGAAAGTCTCTGTAGTTGATATGATTTAGGGATAAAGTGATCCAGTGGAGTCAAGTGTGTATTCATTGACCTCCGCACACAGCCACCTCTCGTTGGTCTATTTTTTGGGATGTATCATTCACTTTATTTACTGGGTTATTTTAACTTTTCCATGACCATAATTCTCTCCTGATGTTGTGTGTATTCAAGGGGGAGACTTGTACAGGACTATTTTATGCTGTTTTATAGTCGACCATACTCACAGTTAGTTGTCTTGTACCCCTCCTTTGTAGATCTAGGAAGTCCTGTAGTTCAGCACTGCCGCTGACATTGGATTTATCCACGGTCACTTCAGGGAGATTGTAGGGAAGTTCGATCTGGTTTTGTAAATCAAATAGACAAGAGTCTTTCCATCGCCATTATCCGGGGATCCAAATCCTCAAAGTTAATTATAAGTGCATCTGCACTTGCCATTTTTTCTTAGTCCCACCGGAAACTCCCACAAATACTTGTTGAGCCTGCCAGTGAGGACCAATTAAAGGAGAACTATGAGGTGAGTGATTTTCACTCATCTTCATAGTTCTAGCCGACCTGTGACAATGAAACTGTCACAGGTCGACTCAGTATATAGGGAAGTGAGCGAACACATACCGCCGTTCGCTCACTTCCCGATCCTGTTACGGCAGAGAGCCGTGACAGTGGAGGGACTGGATTCCCCCCCTCCCCGCTCCGATCCTCCAGCGCTGACTGACGGAACGGACGGGGGAGGGGGCGAGTACAGCTAGCTCTGCCTCTAGATAGGCAGAGCCAGCTGTCACTCACGCAGCTGGGCGGATCCAGACATAATTGTCGGGATCTGTTTCAGTTGCGGCGTCTCAGTATAACGCAAACTGTAGCTTGCGATATACGGAGCTTAGGGTGACTGGAGAATGCTAGTTTGTGTCCTCCCGTTACCCTTAGGAGAACTATGGGGAAAAACCCTAACCCCATAGTTCTCCTTTAAAGAACAACTCCAGGATTTAAAAAAAAACTCAACCTTAGCAGTGGGCACTGCAAGAATTAACTGCCTATTTTGGTCCATGGGCAAAAAATAAATCAGAAATACTCACCTGAACCTCAGCCCTGCATTACTGCTAGACCCGTCTCCCCTTGGCTGGCCTATGGACCCATGATGTCATCACATCACATGGGTCTATTACATGTGAAGACATTGAGCAATATACCACAGCCGGAGCAGAGGGGAAGAGAGGTAAGCTGTCACTGCCACAGGGCGAAGCATCGGGGGAGTATTTCTTCTTTATTTTCACTCCTAGAGAAAAACGGGCAGGTAACCCTGGCAGTGAAAGGGTAGCCCCCCTAGAAAGGTTAATTTTTAAATATCCTGCAGTTGATCTTTAATCCAGCTTCCGGTGATGGTGAGACAATGATGCTGCACTGCTCCTGAATTGAGACTAGAGTTGCCACTCTCTTGTAGGCTGTGCCTGCTTGCTCTACAGTGGGATGCAAAATGTTGCAGATGCATGGCTATTAGCATTGTCACTGCTGATTCACAAGCCTGTAACTTGTCAATCATCACCTTGCCACACCTAGTCCTGCCCACTGCTTTCTAGATTGACAGCACTGCCTCTGTTGCTGAAATCATCCCACTGTGAGCTGCAATACCTGAAAGGGAAGCATGTGAGGCACAGATAATGGAGTATTTAGCTCAGTCAGGGAAGGTTAAGAAAGTGTTCTGATTGCTTTATGAGGCTTGTTCATCCTCTACTAAGATAGCTGTCTGCACAGAGAAACACAGTGCAGAACAGGGTATGGTAAGCTAGTAACGGGAAAAGGATCAGCTGCATGAAACCTACAACCTTCTTTGCCATTTGCTTGCTTATCTTGGGCACAGCTTCCATAGTTAAGGTCCTCTTGAAAGTCCAACTCTGGGCTGAAGTCTACCCCCAATGCTGGCCCAACACCACAGGTGGAACACCCAAAGAACCTATAAAAACAAAAATAGTTCAATACGTACCTTTATTCCAGCAATCTTCTTGCCAATGAAGTCACAGGTCCTCTTCCCCTTTTCTTCCTCTGGTTTTGAGGAGGTGCTAAATACTGAAGTGAGTAATTACATGGTGCCGCTCTCTGCAGCATTCTCCTGTGAGTCCATTGTGGTGGACAAAGCCTTGATGGTCTTGGCTTATAGGAAGTGGGTTGAATGACGTGGGGAAATTGCTGGAAACAGAGTATGAAAACCACCTAGAGCTGCTCTTTTTATTTTTACAAGGGGCCGGTGGCTGTAAAATGTGTCAGTCTATGTCAAAGATGGACATAAGCTTTAAGTGCTAAGAAGAAAACAAAGACTAAATTGATGTGGCTACGTAGTTACATATTGGACTACAAAGAAAACAAGGTTTTCAAACAATGATTGCGAAACATGTTAACCTTGTGCTTCCTTCAAAAATCATTACCTGTTCTAATTTTGCTGAAGTGTGAGCATTTTTCTGGCAGGCATATTATTTCTCATATACAACAGCATAAGTATTTCTCTTTTGCAAGGTAAAATGTTTTTAAAAAATGGCATATTTTTTTTTACAAACGAGCTTTGGGGCCAACTATAAATCTCAGACAAACACACAATGGTCAACTTAGGGAGAACAGTGATTGGAAAATTTAGTAAAAATAACTCTTGTTCTACAAGAGATAATGAGTCCATTAGCATAATACTTGCCAATCAATTATGTCTATAGCAAAGCCAGTTGTCAGGGTGCCGGAATATTTCAAAATTCCAAGAGATATAACAAAACATTAAAAAAAACCCTGTAAACTGATTTATTTACTGTATACTTACAACAAAGCATGGTCCAGCAGATGATTTCAAACATTCCTCCAACAATCTCATTCGAGTTCTCTGCAGTTCAGGGCTGTCCCACTCTTCTTCCGGAACCCCCCAGTATAAGTCTATGGCCTGGAAATAAATGGACATACTATTTGAGCATTGCAATCACTGACTGTATCTAGTATTAAAGAAAAAGGATCACCAGCAATGTATTAAAGCCTCACTGCAGATGTTTGTGAACTCGTGCTGTTTCTATTGCATCGCATGTATTTTTGTCTAAACATGGTTTGATGCTGTGCTATATCCTATAATTTATATACTGTAGCTGAATACACGACTATGATGCTCCCACACAAAAAAAAGTGACTAAATGTAAGATTCTTTGAAGCATGCATTTATTTTTTTTAGAGTTTATATGCAATCTACAATTACATTACATGTAGATTTAAAGAGCATGCTATAGGGGCATGGCCAATAAATATTTATATATTAAAGATGATCTAATTTGAACATCCTGATATCAGCCAGACCATCAATGAAAAGTAAACTCAATAAACATACCTGCCAAATTCTATGGACCAGTCATGTATATTTTTTGGTGATATCACAGGTCCAGAATGTCTTACAGTATGTGTAAGGTTTGATGAGGTTATTGTTTTAGTAAGATTGGACTGCAAAGGATGAGCAACTCTGGAAAACTCTTAGGACCTGCGTACATGAGATTTAGTTGACTGCAATATATATATATATTTACAAAGAAATGCATAGTGGATTGTTTAGGTAGGCTCCCGCACTACATAGTTGTTAGCAAATCTAAAGGGTATAGTACAATAAGACTATAGTAGTGTAGTCAGTTCAAAACAGACCATCCCTTTCAGCAAATGTGAAAATTGCAAGTATGCATCAGATTGTAAATAAAGCATGATCTTCTATCTGAGTTTTCTAGAGAATTGGATTGTCTGTTTAGCTGCATGTCCAGGTCTCTTCTGACTGGCCGTGTAATCCGTGATCAGCCATAGTTGTAGATTTATGAGAAATGCAATGGCAATAGATTTACAATTGTTCACTGTTTGTTGTTATAATATGTTTTACACCCTATTTAAGACACTTCTGTGGGCAGTTCAGGGCTTTTTTGACAGCTGTGACTGGGAAACAAGTGTGGCTGGAGAGGCTCCAGTAAGTGAGGTAACTGACGATTATTTTTAATGAAATGAATGTCCCAAGGGCTTATAAGGAGTAACATAAGCTCATGTAGAGAAAAGTTATTTCTTCTATACATCTATAAACTTTTTAAATCATTCTACTGCCAATCGAGCCTGCAGTGAAATCACAGCATAAAAGATAAGTGACACAGATGCTTCTACTGAGTATTCTGGTTTCCTAGAAGCTGTCAACAGGCTCTGATTGCTCGAATTCCTGTACATTTTAGAACGTTTGATACATCCCTTCAATGTGTTTATTATTTCTGGAAACAAATGGATAATTTAATTACCAGAATACTCTTCGGATTACTTGTTGCATTTTTTTCTGTTGAGCTAAATAAAACAAAAGTTTCAACTTTTGTTCCCATTTCCCATGTGTTCCCATTTGTGAATGGGAACACATAACCAAACATATAAAGAGATTTTCTCAAATTTGACTGCAAAAGTAGAAACACACTTTTAAGACATTCTGCCCAAATCTGTAAAAATGTGTTTAAAGCTTCCCTCTGCTGGAAAGCCAACTGCTCTCATTTCAAATTCAGGTAAACTGGTGATATCCATTCACTCACTGTTGGTGGATGTTGCGAAATACATTTTTGTGCAAATAGTTTTTCAGTAAACAACAATGTTCTACTAAGAACCAATCTGAGATTAACTTGCTTTTCTGCAAACCCTAGATGCCCCAAAATACTCCTCCCATGCTCGCTTCCAGGACTTTTTTAGAGTCTTGGGGTTGTTGGGGTAAAGAAACTCTTTACCCCAACCTCTCCATCTATCTCCCAATCTGATTGCCTTCAGGCGATCCCTAAAGGCTAATCTCTTCAGGGAAGCCTATCCCGCCTCAAACTAGCCACTGAAATATCAATGTTCTCAAACAGATCATCCCCACACAGCTACCTCCTCATGTATCACTTGCCCCTCCCTTTTAGATTGTAAGAACTCCCGGGCAGGTCCCTCCTTACCATCTTGTCTTGAATTGTATTGTAATTGTAATGTCTTCCTTGTATTGTAAAGTGCTGCACAAACTGTTGGCGCTATATAAATCCTGTATAATAATCATAATAATAATACTCAGATATGGGTTGCATAAACAATTTGCTGTAAGAATGGCATTTGTATATTGAACAACATCTTTCCAATATCTTACCAACTTAGACATCTCCAAATAATGTGGATGAAATCTCCCAGGGCCTGTCCCCATCCAGTACAATACCACATTCACTATTACTGGAATCTTAAAATTGAATATAGGTGTAAACTTCTCCTGGTAATCTATTGCATGACACAATTATAGTTACTGATAAGGTAACTATACTTTTCTATACTGTACAGTTTAGGTGTTGAAAACAGTTCTCAACGCTGTTGAAATGAGTTTAGGAAAATATTACGCCACAATTGTTCAAATCGTAAAATTC